ATCCGGATAGTCCTGCTATTTTGGGTAATTGGAGTGATATAATTATCAATAAATAAGGTGAACGGCAAAAGTTACCAATAAGTCGTGGAGTAAAATGTTAAATTACAGCCAGCTTCGGGAAAAAATGAACCTGATGTGCCAGCTCATGAGCTACGACCAGCGCGACGCTGGCTTTTTGGAACGGTGCATAAAGATTTTCGTCAAAAAGCAGATATTTCTCGCGATATGTTATCATGCCCCAGTTCTCCATAGCGCCGGCCGCAAAATCCGGTAAAGCCATCATGTCTGCAATCTTATCCACTACTTTTCTATGCATGTTTGCTTATATGCAAATGAAAACGCAGTACGGCAAGGCCATGATTTTGTGTTGGTATTTGTTTGTCAACGATCAGATAAGATAACTTTACAGATGAGAGAGTTAGGAGGCTGAAGTTCTGTTCGATCTTTTTGAAAAATTAATGCATCTTATGTTTTGCGACAAAAAACCCACAAAATCAGATCTTATCCTATCCGGGCACTGATCTCAACTGCAAAACTGAAACTTCCAGTTTCTGAGCCTTAAAAATTTCAGTTCTCATAACAACTTACAGCAAAAATCAATGATCATTTCGGCCTTCTGGTACGCAGCGCTATTTGTCATGTTTCTTGTTTCAGCTATTCAGACCACTCTGTGCATTACTCTATGCATAAAAAACTTGGTAAAAGGGTCAAAAGGGAGTTTAATATAAAACTAGCTGATAACCTTGTTTTTTCAGTGGAAATGATATATTGTAATAGTCTTCATAAAATTCCAAAGCTGATATGCCAGCACTGAGAGCATACGACGTTTGATTCAAAGCTTCTCGGCGTGACCAAATTCGAAACTGAAAATTGTTTGCATTTAAGAAGGGGCACAAGAGGCTTCTTGATTCTGTAGAGGCATACAGTGAGATACGGGAGCGAAAGAAAGCGAGAAGTATTTTGCAACCAAAAGAGTTTGAGAATCTTTGCGTGAAGGACCAGTAAGTTGCTAAATTCAAATATTTCCTTAAAATGTTACATTAAGGTATAAATATGTCCAAGTTAAAAATCTGGCAAACAGATTCTTTAAAACCAAAAAAAATGTACGCACCCTTGTACCGCGGCTTGTATTACCCTCGTTGTAATCGAAATCCGTTATTGCCAAGGCGAGCAAATAGGATGACATTGGTGGTGATTCGATAAATGAAGTCACTACCCAGTCCGGATTTTCCCTTTAAATATACAAATGACTGTCCCCTAAATGAAACGCTCCGCTATGATACAAACATGATCTGCATTAAAAATCAAATTTTTTCTGCTCCTGACAAATATTTTCCCATGTCATTATGCCAGAAAAGAATTTCTGATATTTCGCCTCATAACAACCCAGTCTGCTTTTTCAACAGTATGAAACTCCGTACCGCTCGCTGCTACACTAGGTTTTTTTATTGTGCACTACATGTTTCCAGTATGTAGCTTCAACCTGTACTAAGTATGCAAAAAGCCTCTTCGAAAGCAGCAAAAAGCTGTTCCCCATTCGCGGGTACTAGGCAATTGTACACGCTGTTCACTGGCCAGATAAAATACCTCATTTACTGAATTTATCTCTTGATCATGATCGTAACGTCCATTTGAAACTTATACGGTTACACTCCAGATAAAATTTTTTACTCCACTGTTCTTTTCGTTACTGCAAGCGCTCCCCTTCCACCTTGTAAATTGATTGGGCCTCAGTGTGTTAGCAGAGTAATAACGAAAGGAATGCATGCTCTTTTTGATTCTGCTATTTGGTGACAACGGCAGTGCTGCGGGATTTTCGACAACAGACAGCCCTTCCACGTGCAATCTTCAGTTTAAGCAGCGTATCTACTTTCTGGTCGAAATCGGCACAGCTCTTCCTAATGAGCAGTTTCAACCTGCATACAAGCTTCTACTACTGTGCCCCTTGCCTTCGTTACCAGTGCAGCAGTTTTCGAGAATCACTTTTTTTGCTGACTTCTTCTAGCGTCTTGTTCTTGCGAGCTTATTCGTGATAGAAGCTGCAATCCGCGAAGCACAAATGAATTAACCGTCTTAATGCCTGGAGCATTTCTTCAAATCAAGTTGCAAAATACCTCTCGTTGCAGGTTTTGAAAAGTTTTGAAAATAAGGAATTGTCCTGGCTTACATCCTTTCCGATTCATGTGCACCTGCACTAGCAGAAAATGCTTTGCTGGTCAAACAGTTCGTATTTACTTCCTTAACTTTTTTCTTACCATGATTTCCAAGGCCGTTCAGATGATCGATAAATGGATCTCATCGGTTACTGCTATGCTACTAGCATATAGTCACACGTCGAACAAAGCTGTGCTAAGCACAAGAAATGCTTAAATTTTTCTGTAACAGATCAAAGAAATGCTTAAATTCCGGTTCATCTTCTTTTTCTTGATCACAGATTTCAAATCTCAGTTTGCAGCTAGGAAGAAGTGATAAAAACATACGTTTTAACAGCAATTTTGGTTTCTATTCCATTTGAAACTGCTGACGTGCCTATTGGGTGAATAACTTTGATTTTCCAAATCGCCTTGAATTCAGGCTCATCAAAACATGGAACCAAACGTCGGGCATCTGTCGGCTCCATCTGCGTTACCGCTACAAATCTAAAAGAAATGCATTCGAAATTTCAAGACTGCATAAAAAAATGTAACAGTGAAAGAACTCTTAAACCCGAGATAGGTCCCAGAATCATTTGAAAACAAAAGGAAGCCGGTAACCCGTGTTTCGTCTGTTTTTGATTACTGATAGCTTCGTGCATGATTATCTCAACGTTCTGAGTTTTTTGTTTTTAGTTTGATTTTGGACTTGGAAAGCAGTCGTACTACTTGTACGACAGTTACACGACTGTCCAAAATCTCACTGAAACAAAAAATCTGAAACTTGCGTACCATCATCATTTTCGTAGCTCTCTCCCAAGCTCATAAACGAGTGCATTTTCCCAAAAACGAATGCTTATTGCGCGGCCGAGCCAAACGGAATTTCAGCAGTTGTCGGAAAATAATCTTCACGTGACGAGATATGTTTCCGAGCAATGAAATAACAGTGGCTCTGGATACAATTTCAGTTCTATCATGTTAAAGACCCTTCTCTACATCAAAACTGAACATCACTGCAGACGAGTTATGACCGACAGTAGTATAATAAGTTATAAAAAGGACGCATAATAGGTGTTCGTAGGTCTCAGCGTATTTTTAAATGAAGCGAGTACTTGAAAAAGAGTCACTGAAATCGAGGAGACGACATGGACTTTTATGCGAAATTCCTCGAATGCGGCTAAGTGAGTCCCGAACAGAACGTAACAGATTCAGCAATAGTGAGTGCAACGATGGAATAGCAGCCGTACAAATCACCTCGTGCTAAGCAGAAATTATCGCAAAATTTGTGCTGCTGCTGCCTCAAGAAGGGTGGAAAAAATCAACCTTGTCTCGCCTTGGTCATCGTGATATCGACTCAAATATAAACCGGCAAGTTTCGTATCGATTGGACCCGAATATGCCATCTGAGATAATAAATCTGATTGAATGGCCCACATTTGAAGTGCGAAAATGAATAAATAGAAGCACTATTTCAGAAGCAATTAAAACCTGAATGTAGTAAACGTGGCCTTTAGTCAGTTGTCCATCTAGCCATAACGTTACCATTTCCACAGTTTCATTCTCAACAAGTTCTTTTACCTGAAATTACGACTGTATGCAGGAAAAGAGAATTTAGTGTTTCATAAAAATTCAAAGCCAAATTAATCAAACTCATGTGTGCAAATGATAACGATTGAAATTCTGCGAAACATGCTCCTTTACGAAAGTTAAAGAGCAGGCTGGCTGTGGCGGAAAAAGAACATATTTAAGCTGGAAACGAAGGAAATCCT